GTTCTTATAGTGTCTCCTATACCCAAAATGAACAGGTCATATGACGGTGCTACGTCCCACCGTATTTAGCATGATAAAAATATTTGGAAAACTATTTTTATTTTGCAAATATCTCGACTTGAGAAAGTGACAACACTTTGACTTTTTTTCAAAACATGCGCCGTTGAAAGCTTTACCAAAGCTGTACGAACAAGTCCTTATTGGCTTGTTCTGATGATTTTTCTAATTGGTTAAAATTAAAGACCTGCGTGATGTTGCTACCATGTGTTCAAAAATGTTTACAACATTTTTTATTCCGTATAAATCTTGGCTTAAGAAAATGTTAAAATTTTGGTCTTCGTTTCAAAATATGCGGCGTGAAAAGCTCTACAAAAACTGTAAGAACAAATCCCTATTGACTTCCTCTGATGATGTCTCCGATACTCAAAATGAACAAGTCACATAATGGGGCTGTTTCGCACCACATTTAGGATAATAAAAATATTTGGAAGCTTTTTTCATTTTGCAAATATCTCGGCTTGAGAAAATGATAACACCTTGGTTTTTTTTCAGAAGATGCGCTGTCGAAAGCTCTACCAAAATTGTAGAAACAAATTCTTATTGCGAAAACAAAAAAGCCTTCCAGATATTTCTATTATGCTAAATACGGTGGGACATAGCACCAGAGGCGGCGGAACGATTCTAATCTAGGGGAGGCTCAAAACTTCTCAGGCGGTGATAGGAAGGTGATGTACGAGAAGAGGGTATTTTCTGGCTTTTCAATCCTAACTCTTATCAAAGAGATATCGGATATCTCGACGTTTTTTCAACAGAGTTTATTTTGCATATATCCTTCTATAGGTGACTGATATAATCTTGGAATGTTGTGGAAATATGTTCTATGGAAGTTGAGAATCTTCCGTGATTTATTTCTTTGGTATTTACAGGATTCATTTTAATCACAAAATTTCTCTGCTTCATAGCATAAAACATAATATAACTCTATTAAAAACACCATGATTTGGAAGAAAAAGCTTTCATCTTCAGCTGTTCTTCATCTGAAGTCTTGTTTACTTTCAACTTCGGTCAGATGCCCGTGCTTGCCTCAATTTCGTTCAGTTGACGATGAAAGTAGTACATAAGTACAGGAACTTACAGAAAAGTTTCGAAAAAATGAATTATAGAAGCTGTTGTTGAATTCTCTACACCAATGCATCACAATGTCTTGTCGACCTGTTGTAATGAGTTCTTAGAACAGTGAAAGATAGGATATATAAAACATTGCTATGTCATATCATACTGAAAGTAATACAAATATTTGTCATACTTATTTTCCCACATAAAAACCCTGAAAACTTGAATCTGTTTTTAAAGGAGCAAAATGTTCTCTTGAATTGTCTTAATTGATTTTGACCGAACTAAAAGCAAAGGCGTGCAAGATACTATATTTTTCACTTTTCTAAAATAAATTTGTTTCACTATTTAAACAACTAATTACCTAACTGTTCAATTTTAATTCTTTAAGGCGATCTTCAAACAAGAAACATATAATTTTGGTATTATCATTGCATTCCGTAGTGTGTTTTAATACATTAAACTTGATTTTGATAAGAATTATGCTATTTTGTAGCGTTCAGTTTACTGTTATCGTGGAAAATTACACAGCGTCGTACAGCATTACTTTTTTCCTCCTCTCCAAATCGATTACAATAAACCAGGAACACCTTTTTCTATGAATATTGTGGAAAGTGTAATCACACATCTTTAAAAAAGATTCATATTTTTATCATTTTCTGGCGAAAATCCCATGCGGTGCAAAAGAAATGAAAAAAATGTCGAAATCTATTAGACCATATTATCAACTTCTAGATCAATAATTTTTTTTTGTTGTTGGAAAGAGCAATGTCTGAACTGCAACTTTTGTACCGCGCATATTTCTTCAGAACGTCTCTGAGAAGGAGGAAAAGCCAAAAACTGGACATCTCTATCAAAGTGCTTGCAACGTTTGTGTAATTTGAAAAATCAGTATTACTTGATTATTTTGAGCTACATAGACCAACTTTTAATCTAAAATACACCAAAATGGCATGCATTAAAAACACTATCAATAACACCTTAGGTAAATTATTTTATGTCCATATTGACTCTTTAATCAGAAAGGTTTGAAAAATGAAATTTTTGTAAAATAAAGGCGTTTACAAGAATTATCAGTTTGCAAGAATATCAGCCATCATCTATAGAAATCATACGTAAATTCAATTCTTTTTGCGTTATTTGTGTGAAATATGTAAGATCATGAAAACTTAGCAGAAAAAAATAATTCAAAAAAACATTTTTTTACCTCTGCAGAACGGTCAGGTAGTGAGCACAAGCAAATCATGCAGTTTCTTTCAGAAAAATCAATACTTTGATATGAAAACCACAGATATATTTGACATGCGATATACCACTGAAAAGAGCATTCTTTTTGCTACAAAAATCATCATTAAACGTGATTTGTATATCCTCTTCCGATGTAATAAATATTCAAAGAAAATAAAAAATGATGCTGCTAATAGATGAAGTTGCAAGTACTGTTTTAGAGACATCCAGTTTTTGGCTTTTCCTCCTTCTCAGAGACATTCTGGAAAAATATGTACGGTACAAAAGTTGTAGTTCAGACATTTCTCTTTCTAATAAAAAAAAATTTATTGATCTAATAGTCGGCAATATGGTCTCATAGACTTCGACACTTTTCCATTGCTTTTGCACCGCATGTTAGATGCAAAATAGGTATTATTTCATACAGTAAGCTAGCAGGAGTTTTTGATAGTTATTTTGGATACCACCGGCAACGTATTTTTTGAAAAAAATTCAAGTTTTTAGCATTTATTCATGCGAAGATACATGTAATATAAGCTATGTTGATAACATTTTGTGGCATTCATTCTCAAATTCGGAATGACATTCCTAAAAGTTTCTCAACTATCGGATCTCTCTCAGATGTTGCTTTTGATTTTTAGGTGAGACTTGAGCTTTCTTAAGCGCAACTGGTTTGCCGCTTATTGTGCTATCTAGCATGAGACTGAATGTACGATTGTTCAAAGAACTTTCGCGTACTAAATATAAGCTCATGATAAGATTTGTGAGTTTTTTCCAAAATATAAGCCTCCTCAAGCTGCCCCTGCCTGTTTTTAGGGGAGGCTTGAGCCTCCCCAAGCCTAATGGCTCCGCCGCCACTGGTTTCATCGGAAAAAACTTGCGTGTTTTGAAATATCAGTATTCGGAAAGCTGCTGAAAGTGTACGACTACGATGCTGTTAAAGAAAATACAGCTTTAAAAGTCGATAAGTCGTAAAATCAAAATGAATTAGCCTTTTCAAAACAATGCCAGGTATTGTAACATGCTTGTAGTTGAAATGGATTCAAATGGAGAACAAGTTTTCGACATCGAAAATCCACAATGAAGCTTCACATCACCTATTGACTACTTTGTTCCTTCTCCCTCCCGAACACATTTCAATACTATTTTCGGCTCCCCAGTTATCTCTCCACTTGTTGATGTTGTTATTTCACTAGGTGAGTCAGATCTGTACGAATCTAAAGAACAGTCGTTTGAAAGTGTTTTCAATCTTCTCACAAATCAACCGAGAAATGATAAGGTTCATTTAAAAATTCTCTTCCGCACGAATGAATATCATTTGATCAATTCTACTTCTATCAATGGGTTCTCATTTGTCTTGTTTCTCTCTGAATTTACTACTTAATACTTTTTTCTGACAATGTTTGTATGAAACGATAAGCTGTTTTTTGTTCGAAAACCATGAAAAAAAGATGATTTTGATTTGCGCATTAATCCTTAACTGTGATAGGCTATGAAAAAAGTAGTATATTTCGCATAATATTATTTGTCTAGAGTGCTTTTTTTATTATCAACAAATGCAAGCATATGAAAGATTGACTAATTTATTCAGTGGTTCGATGTTTGAAAAGTAGAAGCTTGTTGTGTACATTTTTTTAGATTAGCCTGATATTCTATAATGTCTGGATGATTCGTTGCAAGCACTTGCCCTCCATTTTCAATTCCTTTTTTAAAACTCGTTTGTGCTTGTAGGTACTGCTCCATCTTGACATATAAAAGACCAAAATTGTTATGGATCTTTGATAGATTATGATAATTCAAAGGAAGAGATTGCTCCTGGATTTCCAGTGCCATTGTAAGAAATTTAATGGCCTCTGGATATTTGCCCATTTCACGGTGGATTGAGCCAATGTTATTATATGTGACTAGACGATCGACATGGTACTGAGGAAGTGATTTTTCTTGAATTTCAAGGGCATCTTCATAGTATTGAAGTGCCTTGGGATAGTCTTCCATGTTGTCGTATACAAGACCGATGTTGTTTAATACAGAAGCTATGCTAGGATAGTATAGGGAAAGTGATTGTTTAAAAATGTCAAGTGCTATTTCATAGTGTTTGAGAGCATCGTTACAACAGTTCAATTTGAGATACACTCCAGCGAGATTACAATGAACATCACCTAGGTCAGAATGTGTGGAAGGAAGACACTTCTGTCTGATAGCAAGTGCTGTCTCGAAACAAGTACGTGCTTCGTCATAATTGCACATTCGTCGATATACAACTCCGATATTACAATAGGTAGTAGCTGGGTGGGGATGCTGCGGAAGTAGAGATCTATGTTGAATTTCCAATACTTTTTGATAGTTTGA